TCAAAACTTTTAGAATACAGTATATAAATCATATTTCTCACCACACTGCTCCTATTTAGACTGAGATGTAGTGGTCCTTCTTTACTTATGCTGTCTGAGTCAAATGTTCTCTCCCATTTCCAAACTATGGTCAGAGGCTTCAGAGTAGGTGTATGCTGGGGGAGTTTTGGACTCTACAGAGGGATGGAGGGAATATCAAATACCCCCAAGTACCCCCCAAAAAGGGTCTACATATGCATAAGGGAAAACTACATCTATATAACTCCCTAACAGCATGTCAACTCACCTGTAAATTTCAGAAGAAAGAGGAGCAAAATGGAGGAAAGCTGAATGAGATAATTACTGAGAGGAAAGGGCATATTCCTGCCAAATTTTGGTGCTGCTCCTTACAATGTGGTTGCAGGACTGGTTTCTTTTAGACATATTGGCCTAACTATTATTGTTTTGTTTTAACTAGAGTAGCTCTATTAAATAATTTGGTGAATGGTGAGTCCCATTGATTCAACAGGTCTACTGTTGAAAGGACTTTGGCTACATCTACATTACAAATTAATGCAGTTTGACACCACTTTAATTGCCATGGCTCAATGCTATGGAATTGTGGGGTTTGCAATTTTGTGAGATATTCCTTCTCTGTCAAAGAACTGAGCCTGTCGTACTTTGGCCACATAATGAGATGACATGGATCACTAGAAAAAAAAATAATGCTAGGAAAGGTAGAAGGGAAAAAGAAGGAGGGGAAGACTGCAAGCCAGATGGATAGATTCAATTGAGGGGGTCACAGGCATGGGTTTGCAGGGACTGAGCAGAGGAGTGGAAGACAGGGAGTCTTGATCTGGAGGTGTCCATTCACAGGGTTTCCATGAGTCGAAGTTGACTTGAGGGCAGTTAACAACAACAAGAGGAAAGAAAAAGAGCTAGTTCAGTAGTTATAGGTTTTTGTGGGTTTTTCATGCTATGAGATCATTTTCTAGAAGAATGTATTCCTGACGTTTTGCCTGCATCTGTGGCTGGCATCTTCAGAAAATGATGGCATGGAAGTGTGTGGGGTATATATACTGTGTAACCCTTGGTTGAGAGGATTAGCATGTAAATCTGTGTATTGTTCTGTTGAGGCAAGGCCTCAGGGTGGGGGATATGTGAGGAGGATTAGTGTGTATTTAATTAATGGTCCATTGTCTTCTGGGAAACCCCCTGACCCTGGGTGAAGTTTTTTTGCATTTGCTGAGTCCTGATTTTGGTGTTTTTGAGGACTGGTAGCCAAACTTTGTTTACTTCCAAGATTTCTTCTTTCCTGTTGAAATTATCCAGGTGTTTGTGGCTTTCGATGGCTTCCCTGTGCATTCTGGCCCAACAGTTGTTGACATGGTCCAGAATTTCAGTGTTTTCAAATAGCTCTTTGTGCCCAGGTTGGTTTATAATGTGTTCTACTACTGCTGAATTTTCAGGCTGGCCTGGTCTGCAGTGTGTCTCGTGTTCTTTGATTCTCATTTGAACTATGTGTTTTGTGGTCCCTATGTAGACTTGTCCACAGCTGCACAGTATGCAGTAAACTCCAGCAGCTGTGAGAGGGTCTCTCTTGTCCTTTGCTGAGAGCATTTCCCAGAAGACAATGAATCATTAATTAAATAGCCACTAATTCTCCTTACATAGCTTCCCACCCTGAAGCCTTGCCTCAACAGAACAATACACAGATTTACATGCTAATCCTCTCAACCAAGGGTCACATAGTACATATACCCCACACACCTCCATGCCCCCATTCTCTGAAGATGCCAACCACAGATGCAGGCAAAACATCAGGAATACATTCTTCTAGAACATGGCTTCACAACCCGAAACCCCACAAAAAATTATAGATGCCAGTCATGAAAGCCTTCAACTTCACAGTTCAGTAGTTGAAGCAGCAAAGACACCTACTAACCAGTAAATCCTCCTGAACGTAAAGGGACTGAGTAAATATGCTAAGATTGTGCTATAAATGGAATAGTTTGTGAGGGAAAAGAGTTGTAACTCATCATTAGTTATATCACATACATCCTCCCACACAAAAATGCCCACAACAAGAGTGCTAGAAGTATATTTCACATATAAATAGCAAGGAGTGAGTTATCAGAGGGTAGTATATCCTATTTTCCTCACCACACATATTTGTCTCACCATATATTATAAAACACAATCCCCATTCCTAAAAAGCAGAACTGAAAGGGAGAGGAACAGACATAAAAGAATTAGTATGCTTTTATAACAAGATAAACTAAGGAGTCCCATTTGTGTTGAAACCATGGTTCCTTCAAATAAGATTGCTAGCTTTCTCCACCAAAGTTCACTGCAGGTCAGATGGACCTCCTTATGTACATTCACAACTGCCCTATCCAAAGACTGAAAGTAAAGGAGAGGAGATTTAACTGTTAGAGCCAGCTGAATATGCCAACAATCAGAATTGATTCTTAGTTAGACAGCATAGCTTATAAGAAAAAACATAACATCTACTCACTTTCTAGACTTCATAGTATATAGCATGATGTAGCAAACAATACATTGTACAACATTTATGGATGTCATAAATTTTACTATAGCATCATTTCAAACATCAGCCATGTCCCATCCTCCATAGAAAATGGCTGTTTCAGAGACAGATATTCATCATTTGGAGTGGCTACAATTTCAGAAAACATCAGGTACATTGACTGATGCACAAAGATGTGGACAGGGTTCTAAAATTACAGTTCTGATCTCCCTATTCAGATGGGTTATGAAATCCTATGTTGTCATGTTTGCTTCCATCCTCACCATTTCCAGTCATCCATGCTGGGATAGGATAATGGGATTTGTTGTGTAACACTTTCAAAGAGCAACAGGCCAGGTAAGATTGTGCTAAGCAATGTGGGGAACTGTATGAATGGTGGGGACAAATTTTTCATCAGTGGTTCATGCTTGGTGAACCAGACATGCTGTCATATAAGTTCAAGTTGTTCAAACCAATGTTCTGTTATATTTGGGGGATGAGGCCAGGGTTTAGAGATGGTAGGAGGGCAGATAAACCTTTGTATTTCTGGATAGCTTTAATGATTTTTGGGTCATTTGGGGAACACAGGACTGTTGGTTTTGGGAGGTGCCTTGGAGGGCACAAAATGGAACCCAGAAACCACCCATGAGCCACACTTTTCCCACCCTTGCACTGAGTAGACCAGGGGTAGGCAACCTTTTTGAGCCGGGGGCCGGGTTACTGTCCCTCAGACAATTGGGGGGCCAAAGCACAATAAATAAATAAATAAATAAATAAATATTTTTTAAAAATTAAAAAATTAAAAAAAATATGCATGCACACTCTCTCAGCCCCAGATAAGCCATGGCAAAACCCCTGTGGAGATTTTGCCAAGAATACCCCAAGAACAAGTAATAACAACAATAATCAATATCATCATGGTGGGCGGCGGCGGCAGGCCCGACCTGGGGCCGGTCCAAAGGCCTCGGGGGGCCGCATCCGGCCCCCGGGCCTTAGGTTGCCTTCCCCTGGAGTAGACAGTACGTAGTAATGTAATTGTGAAAAAGAGATATCAAGTATATATATAAAATACTGACATCATAGATTCCTCTTTTGGTTGACTTTCAAGCTGGCTGCCATACATCTTTCATATGCCAAACCCCCCCCCCAAAAAAAAACAATTACCTTGGAATAAGCAAAATTCATATCATTCAAACTTGTATTACCTTGTGTGGCAGTGCAACATGAAAATATACTTCAGAAATTTGTCCCAATTGTGTTCATGGGATTTACACTCAGGTAAGAATGAATAGGAACACAACCCTTTAATCTAAAACTGGAAACAATATATGTCCTATGTGAACTTGCTACTCTGAGTCTGTATCATCATGTACTTACATTTTTTATTAGGGCTGCAAAACTTAATTGATTGGTTCTATTAGTCCATTAAAATTAATTGACTAAAAGGTGCCCCTCACTAATTGGCAGAAGATTGTTTTATTCTCCCAGGCATATTAATGTTTCTTTAAAAAAAGAAGAAGAAAAAGAAGAAGAAGAAGATTTATTAATTGATTGGTTGATCTTAAGACAGCTCTTGTTTTCATTTTCATTATCATAAAGTCATAGAATCATAGGGCACCTCCCAAGGCATCAGTATTTGGCCTGCATTGGGAGCAGCTGGTGCAGACACAGGACTGAACTGCTTTTTCCTGCCTATCTGCTCTGGCCCATAGAATCATAGAGATGGAATGAGCCTCATGGGCCATGTAGTCCAACCTCCTTTTCAATGCTGGATGTCCAGTTAAAGCAGCAGGAAGCTGTCCAGCTTCTTTTGTAGATGACCAGAGGAGACCCTACCACCTTTCTATGCAACTGGTTACATTGCCAAACTGCTCTTACTGTTAAGACATTCTACCTCATGTTCAATCGAAGTCTACTGCATCTTCAAACTATTAGACCCAGTCCTACACTCTGGGGCAACAGAGAACAGGCCTGCCCCTTCCTTTTTGTGACATTCCCTAAAGTATTTAAAGAGGGTGATCATGTCACCCTCAGTCATCTCTTCACTAAGCAGAACATGCCCAGCTCCTTCAACCCTTCCTCATATGTTTTGTTCTCAATACCTCCTGTCATCCTTGTTGCCCTTCTCCAAACCTGCTCCAACTTCTCTATACCCTTCTTAAAATGAGGCACCCAGACCTGAACACAGTACTCCAGATGAGGCCGGACCAGTGCAGAATATAATGGGACTATTACTTCCCTCGATTAATGAAGGCTAAGATAGCAATACCACACTGCTGGCTCATGCTTTATTTATTTATTTTTATGTTTTTACACCATGTTTGATGGTGTTCTTATATTTTATGGGATGAAGCCAACTCACAGCACAATGGCACAATCTTATCTCTTTCTCTTGCAGCCCTGAAGCAGGTCTTTTGGAATGCAGTGGGTCTGAAGCAGGTGGGAAACTATTCCTATCTTTATTTTGTTCCCATTATTGGAACCATGGAGAGGCAGCATGGCATAGTGGTTTTGAGTGCTGGACTACAAACTCTGAAGACCAGGGTTTGATTCCCAGCTCAGCCACAGAAGCCCACTGGATAATAATAATAATAATAATAATAATAATAATAATAATAATAATAATAATTTATTTATATATTGCCTAATGGTTGCCCAATCTGGGTGGTTTATGACATAAAACACATTCACAATAAACAGCATCCCCCCCACGTAAAACATTATTAAACAAATGACATAGTTAAAATCCATTAACAATTTAAACAGAATAAGATCATGATAATTAAATAATTAAAACATTCCAATACCTCAGTATTGCACATTGCAAGGGAACCAGGATTCAAATTAATGTCACTGAGGGGAGAGGGGACAGTCCGGGGCCGGGACAATTTAGTCTGGAAAGGCCTGCCGGAAGAGATCTGTCTTGACAGCCTTTTTAAAACTGTCCAAAGATGTTAATTGATGGACCTCATCTGGCAGGTCGTTCCAGAGCCTGGGGGTGACAACAGAGAAGGACCTCTGATATAACTTGGACCCAAGCCATTTAGGGCTTTAAAGATAATAACCGACATCTTGTACTGGGCCCAGAAATCAATAGGCAGCCAGTGGAGGGACCTCAAAACTGGAGTGATGTGGTCCCTCCTAGATGTTCCTGAAACAAGCCTGGCTACCATGTTTTGAACTAACTGTAGTTTCCGAACTTGGCACAAGGGTAGCCCCATGTAGAGCGCATTACAGAAATGGAGGTGTGAGGTTACCAGTGCGTGCACAACAGTCTCAAGAACCCTTACTTCCAGAAAAGGGTGCAGCTGGCGAATCAGCCGGAGCTGATAACAGGCGCTCCTGACCGTCGCATTAACCTGATTCATCATCAGGAGCGACGAGTCAAGGAGCACCCCCAGACTGCGAACACAGTCACTGGAGGAGAGTGTGACCCCATCCAGGACTGGAGGTTGCAACCCAATTCTTGGTTTTGGGGCCGCTACCATGAGCACCTCCGTCTTGTCTGGATTCAGTTTCAATCTGTTTCTCCTCATCCAGCCCATTACCACCCAAAGACATTCATTGAGAGAAGAGATGCCATTGGAATTCAAGGCCGACGAACGAGACATGGAGAAATAGATTTGGATGATCTTGGGCAAGTCACACTCTCTCAGCCTCAGAGGATTGCAATGGCAAACCTCCACTGAACAAATCTTGCCAAGAAAACCCCATGATAGATTTTCCTTATGGTTGCGTTAAGTCAGAAATAACAGCATGCAGTGGAAGCATCTTATTGGGTCCTGACCAATGGGTCTAAGTTTTGGCTCCTGGATGGTATAGAGATGTAATATTTTTTTTAAAAAGGACTAGATTCAGATTTAGTTGTATTTCTAGTAAACCCACTGAGGTCCTGTAGATTTCCATAATTTTACTCTGCACATAACTGAACCTGGATCAATCTCATGAGTATCAATACAACTTGGAGGGGAAAATGTGTGAGGACTGCCTTAAGGGAATTTCACATTTCTCTCACACACAAGAAGAGTGAACTTCCAAAAGAAAGCCTATGTGATATGCATAACTAGGGGTATTCCAACTCTGATCTAAATACTAAAGAAGTTTTCAATTTATTACACATGCACATGTTTGGATTTATTGCACGTGCAAATGTTTGTACAATTAACGGTCACTTTGACTTTGTTTGAATCAACTAAGACATGTAGAATTGATTCAAATACGCTTAGCCATTGGGCAGTTTTCTAATCTATATAACAATGTTCAAGGTTGCCATATGTCAATAAAGTTAACTCTCTGTTTTTTAAATGATTTGTGGTCTCTATTTTTAATGAACATAAGCTTCCTTGGGGGGCCCTTGGAAGGTCTGAAAAGTAAACCATTTATTTAAAAAATAAATAGGTGTTCAAAATGTTTTGCTTCTCATTAACCCAGACGTTGGCAACTTTGGCTGGGGATAAGTGACCACTCCCCATGGAAACATTGTTTGGCTTAAAAAAAAAAAGCCTGTAAGAATTTATTTCCTTTGTAAAAATTAATTTGAGAAAAGCACCCTTTCGCTAAATCAATACTCTCTTTGTAGCTTTACAGAAGAAGCTAAATTCCTGGATATTCCCAGAATCTTGAGTCTCCTTACTGTGAACAAAAACAAAATTCCCTCAGCAGTGGCTGGGGGACTTATGGCCCATCAAAACTGTAATGGGCTACAATGTGGCCCCATAGGCCATATGTTATCCACCCCCGCATCTGTCCTTACAACACCTCTGGGCAGTAGGAAGACATTTCCATCCTTCAGATACAGAGAAAGAGATGAATCTATGAGATTATTAACTCACTTGAACTATCAAGTTCAAAGAGGAGGTGAGATTTCAACCCAAGGCTTCCTGGATCTCTCACAGCTCACACTTTTAGCCGCAATGCTCCAGCCGCTAATTTATTTCAGATATTTCTAAGCAGTATTCTCTGCCAAATGGCACTCAAGCAGAGTGCAATGTTAAACAGCATAAAAACATTATAAATACATAAACAATCCTAGAAGCTAGAAGAGCCAGCTGGACTAAAAACCATGGCAAATACATCAGTGGCAGGCTAAAAACATGGCACGGTCCCATGTCCTCAAAGGGACTTTTTCCCATACACAGACCTGTTGACAAAATAGCAGCCAGGAAGAAGCCAAACATGCATCAGCAAGGCACACATTCTACAAAGTGGGCACCTGAGTTAACAAAGGGCCCAAAGGAAGTCCCTAACAAAGAACAGGATGCAAAGCAGAGCATTTCTTGCAGATCTGAATGGAAAAAAATGATGGGCGAAAGGGTCTCTTAAGGTATCAAGCCCAGTACCAGAAATCAACAATGCCAGGTGTTACCAATATCCACACCAGCAATCCTTAGAACATTTTGGTCTTGTGACTTCTTTTCTTCATGGATACCACTTAGGATTGCCAAGTCAGGATTATCCCAGGACCTGAGATTCTGGGACCAAAGCCTGAGATCTAGGGACAACCCCTTCTAATGTCATAAGAGGAGAACCCTGATGATGTTATAAGGGACAGTCTATGGTGAGGTCATTAAGCATGATACCTGAAGCATCAACCACACTTGCACAGAGTATGCCATTCAAAATATTATTATTATTATTATTATTATTATTATTATTATTATTATTATTATTATCATCATCTAAGTAATGAGAAAAAATAGAGATACTATACACACATTTTTCAAGGCATCATTCTTACCCTGAGAATCCTAGCCCTTGTTCTGAGAACTGGAGAAGAGAAGCCAGGACCTGGGATCTTGAAATCTAATGCCCCCTGTTTAGTTACTATCCAGAGTGAGCAATGAGACTGCCACATCTTTTGTCCTCACCTTTGGGGAGGTGGTAGAGATTGGGCCCAGGGGTTCAACAAGCAAATAGGCAGCAGAGGTTGCGGCAAGGAAAATGTGGGCAAACTGACAACTGCATGGAAGGTGCCATTCAGAGCATCTTACCTCAAAGCTTCTCAAAGCTTGTATGATGGCACTGTATGATATCCCGGAGCCTGCAATCAGAATTTCCCTGAGATTCTGCAAATTCCCTGAAGTCCTGAAAATATCCCTGAGTCACATTTCTGAAAATAACACTTCAGTGGCCTAGGCCATCTGATCTCATCAGTCTATTAAAGCCCAAGGGCATTAAGAAGACCAAAAGCCAGGATTCAGTCATCCAAATCCAAAGGAGATGTGGCTTAAGTTCCTGGAATCAATTCAAAGATTACAGAAGTGTCACTGGATGGATCAGGGGCTGCATCACCATAAAGTGTAAGACTGAGGCAGACATATATTTAAGCAATAAGAATTTAGCCACATTAACTGCAGGTCAAATAGTCCCATAAAAGAATAGTAAAGCACTCATGTGCTTACATCATCTATCAGTCTCTTTAATGTTGAATTCAGTGCCATCATTAATGTGACTGCCGTTAAAACTGGATCACGATTGCATCAAAAAGCTTAGGTTCCCTGCAGTTTGCAAAAATACTTCTCCCCCCCCCCCCCCCCCCCCCCGTCCCTTTTCAAAAGAGGCAAACACATTAATAAAACAAATCAGCAAGAGCTGGGCACATGTAGGAATTTTCAGAAGCCATGGAATGTTGGGCCCATTAGAAAAAGAAGAAAAGGGAAAGGAGAAAAAAAGAAGGTGCGGGGCAGTGATTTGGGACAGTCCAATCCCTTCAGCACCATGTACAATTCTCGGAATTGAAGTTCTGTGAGATATTTAGCCTTCTCTCTGAAAGAGCTCTTGTGCCAAACAAACTACAAATCCCAGGACATCATTGAGCCATGGCAGTTAAAGCAGTGTCAGGCTGCATTATGTCAACAGTGCAGATGCAGCATGAGGGACAATGAATCTATATCAGAATTTCGTTTGAATGTTAAAAGAACTATCCAAGGTGCTCAACCTATATGGGATAGCTATTTTGGACTAAACCTGGCACGGATTCATTACCCCACAGTCACTGGAGCTAGCAGTTGCCACTGGAAAACCATTGTTACCTGACAAAAAGTTTGGGTTTTTATCAAGTTACAACCTGCAGGAACAAAATTGCTTTGCTTGTTTATTGCATGACATTTCCTTGTTATTGTTCACAGTTACTTTTGACTGTCATTTTGAAGAGTTTTTTAAAAGTTCAATTATTTTATCAATCTTAATTCCCCCCCACCCTGACCAAAAGTAATTATTAAAAGAAAGGGGGGAGTATGAGAAGTCCAGTTGGCCCCCTTTTTGGTCTCTTTTTACCAATAAGCTAAAGCCTTTTTATTTAGACAATCCTTTGATTCTTAAATCATGTGGCAGAATTGCTGTTGATCTTTTAACTTTATACTTATGTTATAAATGTGTTTAAACTGTTTTTAATCATGTACTTTCTTCACAGAATTGCTTATTTCTTAACTCTTGTAAAATAATATTTTAGTTGCAGTTTTCTTTTAATTATTTAAAACTACTTTGGATCCTGTCTCAGGGCAAAGGTGGGGTATGAATTGAGAGAAGGAAGGAAGGAAGGAAGGAAGGAACCCAACACATGATGG